ACGTCTCGCACACCACGCCCTGCCGCGTCAGCCCGATCTGCGCACGCACGCACGCTCTGTCATCTGTCTACCTATGTACGTGTACGTGTGTGTGTCTACTGTCTCTATGTGTGCACGGCCAGCCCGCACGTCTCGCACACCACGCCCTGCCGCGTCAGCCCGATCTGCGCACGCACGCACGCTCTGTCATCTGTCTACCTATGTACGTGTACGTGTGTGTGTCTACTGTCTCTATGTGTGCACGGCCAGCCCGCACGTCTCGCACACCACGCCCTGCCGCGTCAGCCCGATCTGCGCACGCACGCACGCTCTGTCATCTGTCTACCTATGTACGTGTACGTGTGTGTGTCTACTGTCTCTATGTGTGCACGGCCAGCCCGCACGTCTCGCACACCACGCCCTGCCGCGTCAGCCCGATCTGCGCACGCACGCACGCTCTGTCATCTGTCTACCTATGTACGTGTACGTGTGTGTGTCTACTGTCTCTATGTGTGCACGGCCAGCCCGCACGTCTCGCACACCACGCCCTGCCGCGTCAGCCCGATCTGCGCACGCACGCACGCTCTGTCATCTGTCTACCTATGTACGTGTACGTGTGTGTGTCTACTGTCTCTATGTGTGCACGGCCAGCCCGCACGTCTCGCACACCACGCCCTGCCGCGTCAGCCCGATCTGCGCACGCACGCACGCTCTGTCATCTGTCTACCTATGTACGTGTACGTGTGTGTGTCTACTGTCTCTATGTGTGCACGGCCAGCCCGCACGTCTCGCACACCACGCCCTGCCGCGTCAGCCCGATCTGCGCACGCACGCACGCTCTGTCATCTGTCTACCTATGTACGTGTACGTGTGTGTGTCTACTGTCTCTATGTGTGCACGGCCAGCCCGCACGTCTCGCACACCACGCCCTGCCACGTCAGCCCGATCTGCGCACGCACGCACGCTCTGTCATCTGTCTACCTATGTACGTGTACGTGTGTGTGTCTACTGTCTCTATGTGTGCACGGCCAGCCCGCACGTCTCGCACACCACGCCCTGCCGCGTCAGCCCGATCTGCGCACGCACGCACGCTCTGTCATCTGTCTACCTATGTACGTGTACGTGTGTGTGTCTACTGTCTCTATGTGTGCACGGCCAGCCCGCACGTCTCGCACACCACGCCCTGCCGCGTCAGCCCGATCTGCGCACGCACGCACGCTCTGTCATCTGTCTACCTATGTACGTGTACGTGTGTGTGTCTACTGTCTCTATGTGTGCACGGCCAGCCCGCACGTCTCGCACACCACGCCCTGCCGCGTCAGCCCGATCTGCGCACGCACGCACGCTCTGTCATCTGTCTACCTATGTACGTGTACGTGTGTGTGTCTACTGTCTCTATGTGTGCACGGCCAGCCCGCACGTCTCGCACACCACGCCCTGCCGCGTCAGCCCGATCTGCGCACGCACGCACGCTCTGTCATCTGTCTACCTATGTACGTGTACGTGTGTGTGTCTACTGTCTCTATGTGTGCACGGCCAGCCCGCACGTCTCGCACACCACGCCCTGCCGCGTCAGCCCGATCTGCGCACGCACGCACGCTCTGTCATCTGTCTACCTATGTACGTGTACGTGTGTGTGTCTACTGTCTCTATGTGTGCACGGCCAGCCCGCACGTCTCGCACACCACGCCCTGCCGCGTCAGCCCGATCTGCGCACGCACGCACGCTGTCATCTGTCTACCTATGTACGTGTACGTGTGTGTGTCTACTGTCTCTATGTGTGCACGGCCAGCCCGCACGTCTCGCACACCACGCCCTGCCGCGTCAGCCCGATCTGCGCACGCACGCACGCTCTGTCATCTGTCTACCTATGTACGTGTACGTGTGTGTGTCTACTGTCTCTATGTGTGCACGGCCAGCCCGCACGTCTCGCACACCACGCCCTGCCGCGTCAGCCCGATCTGCGCACGCACGCACGCTCTGTCATCTGTCTACCTATGTACGTGTACGCGTGTGTGTCTACTGTCTCTATGTGTGCACGGCCAGCCCGCACGTCTCGCACACCACGCCCTGCCGCGTCAGCCCGATCTGCGCACGCACGCACGCTCTGTCATCTGTCTACCTATGTACGTGTACGTGTGTGTGTCTACTGTCTCTATGTGTGCACGGCCAGCCCGCACGTCTCGCACACCACGCCCTGCCGCGTCAGCCCGATCTGCGCACGCACGCACGCTCTGTCATCTGTCTACCTATGTACGTGTACGTGTGTGAGTCTACTGTCTCTATGTGTGCACGGCCAGCCCGCACGTCTCGCACACCACGCCCTGCCGCGTCAGCCCGATCTGCGCACGCACGCACGCTCTGTCATCTGTCTACCTATGTACGTGTACGTGTGTGTGTCTACTGTCTCTATGTGTGCACGGCCAGCCCGCACGTCTCGCACACCACGCCCTGCCGCGTCAGCCCGATCTGCGCACGCACGCACGCTCTGTCATCTGTCTACCTATGTACGTGTACGTGTGTGTGTCTACTGTCTCTATGTGTGCACGGCCAGCCCGCACGTCTCGCACACCACGCCCTGCCGCGTCAGCCCGATCTGCGCACGCACGCACGCTCTGTCATCTGTCTACCTATGTACGTGTACGTGTGTGTGTCTACTGTCTCTATGTGTGCACGGCCAGCCCGCACGTCTCGCACACCACGCCCTGCCGCGTCAGCCCGATCTGCGCACGCACGCACGCTCTGTCATCTGTCTACCTATGTACGTGTACGTGTGTGTGTCTACTGTCTCTATGTGTGCACGGCCAGCCCGCACGTCTCGCACACCACGCCCTGCCGCGTCAGCCCGATCTGCGCACGCACGCACGCTCTGTCATCTGTCTACCTATGTACGTGTACGTGTGTGTGTCTACTGTCTCTATGTGTGCACGGCCAGCCCGCACGTCTCGCACACCACGCCCTGCCGCGTCAGCCCGATCTACGCACGCACGCACGCTCTGTCATCTGTCTACCTATGTACGTGTACGTGTGTGTGTCTACTGTCTCTATGTGTGCACGGCCAGCCCGCACGTCTCGCACACCACGCCCTGCCGCGTCAGCCCGATCTGCGCACGCACGCACGCTCTGTCATCTGTCTACCTATGTACGTGTACGTGTGTGTGTCTACTGTCTCTATGTGTGCACGGCCAGCCCGCACGTCTCGCACACCACGCCCTGCCGCGTCAGCCCGATCTGCGCACGCACGCACGCTCTGTCATCTGTCTACCTATGTACGTGTACGTGTGTGTGTCTACTGTCTCTATGTGTGCACGGCCAGCCCGCACGTCTCGCACACCACGCCCTGCCGCGTCAGCCCGATCTGCGCACGCACGCACGCTCTGTCATCTGTCTACCTATGTACGTGTACGTGTGTGTGTCTACTGTCTCTATGTGTGCACGGCCAGCCCGCACGTCTCGCACACCACGCCCTGCCGCGTCAGCCCGATCTGCGCACGCACGCACGCTCTGTCATCTGTCTACCTATGTACGTGTACGTGTGTGTGTCTACTGTCTCTATGTGTGCACGGCCAGCCCGCACGTCTCGCACACCACGCCCTGCCGCGTCAGCCCGATCTGCGCACGCACGCACGCTCTGTCATCTGTCTACCTATGTACGTGTACGTGTGTGTGTCTACTGTCTCTATGTGTGCACGGCCAGCCCGCACGTCTCGCACACCACGCCCTGCCGCGTCAGCCCGATCTACGCACGCACGCACGCTCTGTCATCTGTCTACCTATGTACGTGTACGTGTGTGTGTCTACTGTCTCTATGTGTGCACGGCCAGCCCGCACGTCTCGCACACCACGCCCTGCCGCGTCAGCCCGATCTGCGCACGCACGCACGCTCTGTCATCTGTCTACCTATGTACGTGTACGTGTGTGTGTCTACTGTCTCTATGTGTGCACGGCCAGCCCGCACGTCTCGCACACCACGCCCTGCCGCGTCAGCCCGATCTGCGCACGCACGCACGCTCTGTCATCTGTCTACCTATGTACGTGTACGTGTGTGTGTCTACTGTCTCTATGTGTGCACGGCCAGCCCGCACGTCTCGCACACCACGCCCTGCCGCGTCAGCCCGATCTGCGCACGCACGCACGCTCTGTCATCTGTCTACCTATGTACGTGTACGTGTGTGTGTCTACTGTCTCTATGTGTGCACGGCCAGCCCGCACGTCTCGCACACCACGCCCTGCCGCGTCAGCCCGATCTGCGCACGCACGCACGCTCTGTCATCTGTCTACCTATGTACGTGTACGTGTGTGAGTCTACTGTCTCTATGTGTGCACGGCCAGCCCGCACGTCTCGCACACCACGCCCTGCCGCGTCAGCCCGATCTGCGCACGCACGCACGCTCTGTCATCTGTCTACCTATGTACGTGTACGCGTGTGTGTCTACTGTCTCTATGTGTGCACGGCCAGCCCGCACGTCTCGCACACCACGCCCTGCCGCGTCAGCCCGATCTGCGCACGCACGCACGCTCTGTCATCTGTCTACCTATGTACGTGTACGTGTGTGTGTCTACTGTCTCTATGTGTGCACGGCCAGCCCGCACGTCTCGCACACCACGCCCTGCCGCGTCAGCCCGATCTGCGCACGCACGCACGCTCTGTCATCTGTCTACCTATGTACGTGTACGTGTGTGTGTCTACTGTCTCTATGTGTGCACGGCCAGCCCGCACGTCTCGCACACCACGCCCTGCCGCGTCAGCCCAATCTGCGCACGCACGCACGCTCTGTCATCTGTCTACCTATGTACGTGTACGTGTGTGTGTCTACTGTCTCTATGTGTGCACGGCCAGCCCGCACGTCTCGCACACCACGCCCTGCCGCGTCAGCCCGATCTGCGCACGCACGCACGCTCTGTCATCTATCTACCTATGTATACGTATGTACACACATATACGTGTGTGTGTGTGTGTGTGTGTGTCTCTACCAATTCTATGTGAGTATATTAACCATATTAATCAAACGCACACTTACCATAAGTGAAGTGCAGTGATTACACTTGGTGGGACTGCTGAAGGTACGGACGAGGAACTGGTGGACCTTTTGTTTACCTCCTGGTCCTATCGAGGGATCCTGTGAAAAAGTTACCAATTATTTTACCCACAGTAGCAGAAGTTGTGTGCTGCTTCCTGAATTCCAGTCTAATATTAGTGTAGTTCACGGATGTTTAAAACTCAAAAATAATATATGTATTCACCTACAACCGCAATAGGCTATGTCACTTGCTAATTTCCTTACTTCTAAGACCGATTTTTTGTATTTTTTTTTTTTATGGGATAGGGTGACAAACGAGCACACAGTTCACCTGATGGTAAGTGGTCGCTATGACCCATAGACATCTACATCTATCCTCGATAAAGAATCAAAATGCAGATGCGTTGTCACCCGTGAGGACTAAGATGGAATGCCTCTTTTCCAGTAAAAAGGGTCTCCGGTTCTCTACACTCACCATACGAAACACAACAGTGTTAAGCTGCTATTTTACGCTGGTGTTCTATGAGAGCGTGGTCCTTCCCCGGTCGAGCCGACTCATTCGTGCTACAACTATACTACTAATATAGCTGCAGCATGGCTCTCCACGTTTAAGCAGCATGGCTCTACCACGTTTGACAGAGTAAATAAAACAATAAATAAACACACTAAATAAAAAATATATTCCACAACTGGGTACGAGCCTCGTCCTCAAACTGCCTGCCACAGGTGCCTGTTGCACGTCGCCTTTATGTATTCAACTGTCCAAGAAAATTGTTCTCAAAAATGCAGGTTAAATCAACACTTAAAATTGCGATTCAGATTTATTTTTAAAATACGTTACCACAAACACAAATTGCACAAGGACAAATATCCAGCCCCGGAACAATTATTTGTAGGCCATACAAATACTTGTTCCGTGCGAGATTCGAACCCGCGGCCCCCAGCGCAGCAACTGATTGCTAGGCCACAGCGCCACGGAGCCGTCATTTAAAAATAAAAAAACGAATTACACTGATGATGATGATGATGATTGAACTCAGATTGGTACGCATAGTACAAAATGTAACACGGTAAAGTTAAAAACTACAGACGACTCACCGTGGACATTTCACTGGGAGAACTCTTGCTTGAGGCGGGCGAGGCGGCCCTCTGTTCCATTTCATCAGGCGACTCCGCGGATCCGCTCAATGCTGTCGATTGCTGTGACCCATACAGTAACTGGGAAAAGTAAGTTTTTTTTTAACAACACAATCGTATACGCCATTATTGAAAATTAAAAAGTGAAAGGATATATTTTAAAATTTTTAATTTGTACTTCTTTTGTATAGCGGCGTCGAAAGAGAATTCACTATCACATATCATCCCGTAGGCGTCGTAAAAGGCGACAGAGGAATATGTACTGGACAATGGCAGCAGCATGTTCCTGACAACTCGAAATATGTGCAAATATGTGCAAATATCACAAATATATGGGACAATGTATGTATAAGGGAGGTCCTATGTTCAGCAGTAGATTTTTGATAGGCTGTATTAAATTAATATAAACGTGTAACAAAAACCCTGTGGTTCCATTTAAGTGCGTTACCAGAGTCAGTATGCAAACGTAAAAAAATAACTTTTTTTGAAAAACTTGAACATTAAAAAAAATATTTTAATTAAAAAAATGATTTGCAAATTGTGCGTGGTTTTATTACCTCTAACTGACACGAGCATCGGTGAAGGGGGGGGGGGGGGGGGGGGGGGGGTTCACAATCATCTTATTCTCCGGATAATGCAGAGGTAATAAAACCACATATAATTAGCAAATTATTATTTTTTAATGTTCAAGTTTTTTGGAAAAAAAAGTTATTTCTTTACGTTTCAGTATTACTGACTCTGATAATGCGCTTAACGGGAACCACAGGGTTTTTGTTACATTTTGTATAAACTAGGAATATAATAAATCTTTGTCATAAACTTAAAAATGATTACTTAGCAGGTGAGAATTAGAACAAACCTCTAATATTAATCATACCCAAATAAAATTAAAGTAAACAACCAACACCAGCGGAAAATTATAAATGAAAAATGGCAAAAGCTTAACAAAACGATAAAACAAAAAAAAAGATACCTTTGCATTGCAACAATGCTGAGCATTTCTGTAACGGTATTGCAGCGACATCTGTTCGGGGGTAAGCGACGTAAATAAAATGAAAAACATAAACGCAAACAAATAATAACAAAAAGTTTTAGCAAGAAGTTGACAAGTTGGTTCGCATATTATACTCCATCAAATCTAAGAAAGACCTTTGACAGTTGTCACATACCCGGACACGGCCGACCCGTTCGGAATTCTGAAACGGAATCCCCAAACGGAATTCCGAATGTATGTGGCCGACCTTATTGTACTTGTATTTCAACTGAAAAATCGGTACCTATAATATTCGATTCTTAAGAGAAATCGGTAAGGATTCTTTAGAAAAATTTTGGTAATCATTTCCAGTTTTATATAAAGTTATTAGTATAGATTAATACCAGAATAAATTCGAAACAAATAACTCAAAACACAAAAGTTATCATTTCTTCATATTTATTGCTTACTGCTAATCTCTAGAGATAAAGCTGTATTAATTAAAGACTATACATTTATTTTTATCACTGTCACTTTTTTTTTATAGGATAAGGTGACAAACATGCACACAGTCCACCTGATGGTAAGTGGTTGCTGTGACCCATAGACATCTACATTTAACAAGATGTCGTTGTCACCTGTGAGGACTAAGATGGAATGCCTCATTTCCAGTAAAAAGGGTCTCCGGTTCTCTACACTCAACATACGAAACACAGCAGCGTTAAGCTGCTACGAGGGTGGATTGAAAAGTACTCGGCCTAACACAGATCCATTCAATTCTAAAAATCAAATCTACCCACATTATTTAGTTCAGTTCAGACTAGTTCATTGTGTGAAGTTCGAAACGTGTGCGATAATTAGTTGTGATTTTATAAATTTATTAACAAAGTAATCGGACATAATTTCCGCGAATGGAGCAAATCGAGCAGCGTGCCGTCATTAAGTACCTCCATAAGAAGGGGCTATCATCAAAAGCCATCCATGATGACATGGTCAGTACATTAGGCGATTGTGCTCTGTCATATTCATCCGTCAAAAAATGGATAGCAGAATTTAAGCGTGGTAGAGAGAGTGTGAAAGATGAACCCCGCTCTGGAAGGCCTTCGACGTCAACTACTGACGAAAATATTAAAAAAGTACTTGATTTAATAATGGGAGACCGCAGATTAAAAATTAGAGAGATAGCCGAGATTATAGGCATCTCTTATGAACGAACTCAAAACATCATTGTCAACGAGTTGGGTTTCCACAAGGTGTCTGCGAGGTGGGTTCCGCGACTGCTTTCAGTTGAACAAAAAAGGACGCGATTGACTATTTCACGCGACTGTTTGGAGTTATTTGAAGCCGATGCAGATGATTTTTTGAATCGTTTTGTTACTATGGACGAAACATGGGTTCATTACTGTACACCGGAAACAAAACAACAATCGAAACAGTGGAGAAGACCTGGTTCACCACCCCCTAAAAAGGCTAAGTCGATTTTGTCGGCAAATAAGGTGATGGCTTCAGTATTCTGGGACTCGAAAGGTGTGATTATGATTGATTATCTTGAAAGGGGTCAGAATATAAACTCTGATTACTACTGCACCTTACTACGTCGTTTACGAGAGGAAATAAAAGAAAAACGTCGAGGAATGCTCAGAAGAAAAGTCCTGTTTCATCAAGATAACGCCCGTGTTCACACGTCAGTACAGTCAATGGCTGAAATTCACAACTGTGGCTTTGAACTGTTACCGCATCCGCCGTATTCACCTGATCTGGCACCATCAGACTTCTTTCTGTTCCTTAACCTAAAAAAGCACTTGGGAGGTCAAAGATTTTCGACAAACGACGAGGTCAAAGCAGCTGTAGACGCATATTTTGACTCTAAGGAAGAATCATTTTTTTTCAACGGCCTAAATGCTTGGAAGGGGAGGTGGCAAAAAGTGTATTGAACTTGATGGTGATTATGTAGAAAAATAAAAATATAACTGATTTAGTATGTGTTTATTTTCTTGGTTAGGCCGAGTACTTTTCAATCCACCCTCGTATTTTACGCTGGTTTTATGTGAGAGCGTGGTCCTTCCCCGGTCGAGCGCGACCCATTCGTGCTACAACTGATATAGCTGAAGCATGGCTCTACCGCGTTTAAAAATTTTAAAACTTCATAGGTAAAGAAAATAAAGCTGTGCCATTTGATTTTATTTATTTTCTCGTAAATTTGTTATTGTTTGCATTTCTCTAAATAATTATTTTGCGTTTGTTTTTTTTTCATTGGAGGCCAATTCATTTTCAAATTGTTTTTAATGACTCTTTTGACTCCACCATTTTACAAGCCGGCATTTTTTAAACTTACTCGCAACGTCGCTGCTGTGGTATTCACAAAATCATAAAATATTAGACTTGTTTAATTCATGACTCATATAATTTATGCAATTCTAAAAATAAAAATTTAAATAAACAAATAATAATAAAAACAATATAAAGATTCCATTATTTGAATATTTTTAAGAGGCATATTACAAAAAAAAAACGCGAAATTACAAGGTTTTCTCGTTGAAATTCTATGTTTATCGCTCGTTACTTGAAATAAATTTTTTTTGGTAAAAATAGTTCGTTTTCTGTTTTCAAATAAGCTCAAAGCGAATTTTAGATAACTTATTTATTTATTCAGTAATAATCATTCTCCCGATGCATGTTTAGGCAAAAACTCTCGAAGACATGATTTGGGAGCCCTAATTTGTAGATTCTATTGAATACCGACCATCAAAAAAAAATATTTTTATCTCCCAAATATCCTACACTTTAATAATTATAGAATACATTTTTGTTATATGCCTTTCACGCTAGGAAAAAAAAATGACATAATTCAAAAAACGACCGAAAAAGCTTCGAAACAAGCCTCAATATTTCCGAAGTTTTACATCATTTAGACCAAAATAATCATCAAAATTTGCTTAAGCTATACTATTATTTTTACTTTTTAAATCGTTACTATTATATTTTAATTAATTAAATAAAAGTACCATATATTTCACTGTGCCGGCCATTTGCGATCACTATCGCGCGAGCGCTTGTCGAGGTTGGACCTGCGTCAGTTTATTTCGCGCGCTGGGTCGTTTCGATACTATCGCAGTGTGCGTCGATTGCCTGCGTGCTAGAGCATCGTCAACTACTACCGCAGTTTTTGATCGATCGGTTTAAAACTATTTTATATAGTTATAATTTAGATCACGTCTCTTCCATCAATCATGGTAGGGACAACTAGTCTGTAGCATTGGCACAATTGAGCAAACAAGAAAATATTATTATAGAAAAATGTGGTCTATTCATTGACCTACATCATTGTTATTTGAGGGCTTCACCTAATGGTTTATACCGTGACGGTCTTGTTGAAGTTATATGTCCTATTTCAGCTTTCGGAATAGATTTTGACATGGCCTTTTGACCAAAAAAAAGTTAATGGTTACAAATTTAATGATTCAATAATGTAACATTAAATCAAAATCATGACTGGTTTTCCCAACTCCAAGAACAGCTTCGTTTAGCAAATAAAAATGTCTGAATATTTGTCATAATATGTACTGGCCCAGATTGTTGTCACGTAAAAGTACTAAAAATTTACAAAGACGACCAATTTTAAATTGTCAATATGTTACCCAAGTTACAAGCTTTTTATGAAAAGTGTGTACTGCCTGAAATTATCGACTCGAGAAAAGTTCGGTCAATGCCGTCGCAGCAAATATTTTTCTAATAAAGAATATGGTAACTAACTGTAAGTACCGATTAAAAAAAAATATAAGTTACATTTGGTTGTTTTATTTATTAAAACAGGTTGCAACCGTACTATTTATTTATTTATTTATACCACTATTCTACCGGTAGTAGACATAATCGATTATTAACATTCGATTACTGTGTAACAATGAAAATATTTATGTGTACTTATTTTGACACTAAATATCATAAATAATGAAAAATATATCAAAATAGTATATAATTAATAAGATAACATTAAAATGACACACCAATAAAATATTCCATCCACTGAACTCCATCCTAAGAAAACTTTGTATTATGGAAGATCAAGATCGTTTAATCGCCATACTCACAGTATCATAGTGCGAGCGAGTGAATAGATATGAAAGAAAGTATCGGCCGCGTAGCTCGCCGCCCGCTCGGTGCGTAAACTACCTAAATTTGCGAAACGCCGAAATGTAAGAGGGCTCTTAACGAATTATTCGCATTAATATGAATTTGAATCATCCAAACATTACGGCAAGGTACATAACGACATATCATTGAAACAATATCAAAAAAAAGTTGTATCCGTTTATTTTTCTATTTTAACTAGTTTTGAAAGATTAACATAACTATACATGTTGTAATGAAATATAAATAACTTCATAATCCTTTGGATTTACGTAAATGGTTATTTTTAAATCGTTTTAGTACGCTTCTACAAAGTTATTGCGAAATGATTAATGTGAAATGTCAAAAGGTATTTCTTAGATTTGGAGGAGTATAAAATATTAATATCTATTGCAAATTAACAAATTCTCACCTAAAAAAAAAATATTATAAATAAGAAATTAGAAAATGAAATGATAAAGGTGTGATTTAAATTGCATACAAAGTTATTACTTAAAAACGAGACAAACAAAGATTTTCGCTCATTTTTTCATAAGCCATTAAATATTTAGTTGGTTTTTTAAGAAAGGCAAAGCCAATTAGAATGTTAAATAAGACTTATAAATATTTTTTTGGCTCAGGCAAATTATTAATATCAACAATTAATGTTCGCATAGGGCTTCTGAATTTCATTTTTTTTTGTTATAAGAAATCGTTTTATAGATAAAAAAGGATATTTAAACATTAACAGCCATACTCATAAAGGTACAATTCCGTAGCCGAACGTGTCGTCGCAACACGTCGTGACGACACGTCGCTGCAGTCATAATTCCTAACCCGACTGCTCGGGCGTTGGCGACACTACTAATCTGCGGTCGGGCGACATGTCGTCTGCCGCTCCGGCAAACGACGTGTCGCTAGCTTCGGAAGGTATTTCATAGAACCACATAGAAACCAGTAGTGTCGCGGCGACACGTCGTCTGCTGCTGCTGTCTGCGGTCGGCTACGGAATGGTACCTTTAATCTACCTCAACTCGTTTTCACTGAAATGAAGTGTAGAGATAATTACATACATAATACATAAACACGCACGCCTGTCACCCAGAGGGGTAGGCAGAGACTATGAACTTCCATTTGGCACGATCCTAACACACTTCTCTCGCTTCCTCCACATCCATATACCTACGCAAACACGCTCGTCGGTTAAAGGTACTCTTGATTTGACCCATTTTCAATATATCGCCAATTTGGTCGATAAACTTTCGCCTAGGGCGTCCCATCCCGATTCTGTCGTTCACCTCTGTAACATAAATTTGCTTTGTCACTCTTTCCTCATTCATTCTTTCTACATGACTAAACCACCGAAGCATTCGTTTCTTAATCCTGGTCACAACATCATCTTGCAAACCACACTCTTCTCTTATCACACAATTTCTCAGTCTGTCATTCAGATTTATCCCTAACATACTCCTAAATGACCGCATTTCTACAGCATTTATTCTACTCTCGTGCTTCTTCTGCCACACCCAACTTTCACTACCAAATATTAAAGAAGGGACTAACACAGCATTATGAATTGCCATACGTACCTTTTTGGACACATTCCGACTTCTCACAATAGGGTGTAGAGCCCCATTCACTCTATTTCCTGCGTTCACACGTCGTTCTATATCCTTATCATATCTACCATCCCTACTAAATACACATCCCAAATACACAAACTCATCTACTTGCTCGACCAACTCCCCTTCTATTCTTATTTCACATAACGTTTTTCTTTCTTCTCTTTCAAAAACTTTGCAAAACAAAAGCGTTCACTTTCATACCCCTTTCTTTTCATGACCAGTTCATTAAATTAACCATCATTTGCAACTTGGCCGCCGACGACGCAAGTATGACTTGATCATCGGCGTACAAAAGGCATTTTACGGTTAGCTCACCCATTCTCAACCCGCATTCTTCTACTATCAAATTTTCCAAACAACTGTCCATAAATAGGTTGAACAGGCACGGGGAAGCCACACAACCCTGTCTGACACCTTTGTGGATGCCAAACCAGTCCGAGTAGGCCCCGTTGATCCTGACACAAGCACTAGAGTCCCTATACAGAGACTTCAATGCTTGTATCGACCTAGTGCTCAACCCAAATGAGTTCAGTGTTTGCCATAACACATCCCCGTCCACACTGTCATAAGCCTTCTCCAAGTCCACGAACGCAAGAAAAACTTTTTGGTTTTTGGCCAAAAACTTCTCCGCGACCATGCGCATTGAAAAGAACTGATCCGTACATCCCATTCCCTTTCTAAATCCCGCTTGCACATCCCAAATTTCTCCATCAGTTTCTTCCATAACTCTTTCAATTAACACCTTAGCATACAGTTTTCCTACAATGCTAAGAAGGCTGATACCACGGTAGTTTTTACAGTCCTGCTGTCATCCTTTTAGAGATAATTAGTACTCGATTTAAGGAAGCGATCAACGATTGTATGTAAGGTTTTAAATATTTTAAGAATATTAGTCACAATATGAATGATGAATTAAAAATTTATGCCAAAGCTATTTTCAGTTTTAGTTCTTTGACATTGTTAATGACATAGTTAAGTGAAAAATAAAAACCAACCTTTTGCTCGTTGTTCATAGAGACGACATTGTCGTAATGCCTTTCCGTCGGGGCGTCTTTGAGAAATTGATCCAAGTAACTCATCTGTGATGGCGGGCGATCCAAAACTGTAATATGAAAACTGTGGTTTATTTTCTAAATACAATTTATATTACATTATGTTAAATTTCGGCGATAATACAAAGAAATATATAAGTAGGGTGAAAAAGGAACACTTAAACCAATCCCAACCGAAACCATGTTCAAAAGAAAGATAGTAATGGTTTAAAACATATTAAATTATTCATTAAAATAATGGTGGCAATACAATAGTAAAGACGAGTGCAAAAGCTAATTTAAAAGCTTAGATACATTGATATAATTAGAAAAAAGGTTTATTAAATAAAAATATAACTAAAATTATTCAAGTATCAGAAAACAAAACTAATGATAATAATTTAATCACAATGTCACAATGCGTCTGAATTTAGTAATAATAAATATTTTAAAAAGCACTTTCGCACTTGACTGTACATAAACATTTTAGTGGACAAAATCAGGACTACAACATGCATTGGACGCTTACAATTGACACTATACAAAACTAAACCCGACGACGTCCGCATCAACACTCACACAATAATGATGAACATTTAAAAGATTAATTGAAAAACATAAGGAAACTCATATTAAAAAAAGAATATCAATAAAAGACTGCACTAAAATATACAAACAAATTGAGTTTTAACAAATCATGTTTCTTTTTCATCATCATCATCATCATAATCATCAGCCTGTGACAATCCACTTCTGGACATGACTTTTTCCCATTATCTGCTGTCAACACCATGCTTGGCAGGCAAATTGTCCATCTTAGTACCAAACGTCTCGAGCATTAAACGCTACACTACGTTGACTTTCAAAGGTTATTTTTTAAAGAGTAGACAAATTTTAAACTAAGTTCAAATATATAAATAGTGATATAATGTTATTGCAGTTTTAGAAAATACGAATAAATAAGGCTTCTTCTTTTGTGTGAAATTATCCCACATAAAATGTGATTTATGGGCAACAGCGTTTTTGCCTACCGATCAACCCTTGCGAATGTGTGCGTGCATAAGTAAAATCAGTTAAAATAATGCATTACCACGCATTTTGAATTCAAAAGATAAAAAGGACAGAATATTTGATATATTTTTTAAATTAATTTTTCTTCACCATTTGCCTAGATCACTTATTTTTAATCTTCTCGGCAAATTTGGCCGATTACTGCAAAATAATCCTGTATATCTGGCATTTAAGGCATGGTTACACCACCGTCTATCCAACATTTACCCCATAGTAAATAAACCTTACACAAAAATCATAAAGAATCAACAGAAATGTACCTTCTGTACTTAACTATTCAATGTATTTATTATCATAAGGTTGTTAATTTATAAAGAACGTACATAAGATACATGTTTTTTTTTTAACTTTACGGATAATAATAAAATTACTGTGTGAATGTTGACACAATTGTCGACTATCTAAGGGTGTTTACAAAACAGAGGAGTATAATATACAATAAAACTGATTAGTCAATCCCTATATACGTATACAAACAAGTGTTAAGGAAAAAAAAAACCAAATCGCTCAGCGCGTTACGTAGTGTTATGAATGGACATTAAATCAAGGGGAACAAAAAATTTCTCAAGCGCTTTTGTGTATGCTATAAACAATGTTAGAGAAAAAATTACAAAAAATACTTTGACAAAAACTATGTAAGCGTTGCTTAGGCAAAAACGGGAATGTCTTGACGCTAAAGATGTATTTTATTCAAGTTCAAAATGGTGAACGTATCCATTAGGTATACGCGTTTTGTGTGTAATTGAATTTTTAATGTAAAATTTGTGTTGATTTTTTTTTAAATTAAATGAAATGACAAACGAACTTTCAGTTCACCTGGTGGTAAATGACTACTGTAGTCTATGGACACCTGCAACCAACTTCAAAAAATGTTGCAAATGCATTGTCATCTATGAGGACTAAGATGAAATGCCTGTCTGTTTATTATACTGGCTCTCTTTACCCTTTAAGTCGCGTTGACACGATCAAAGTCTGATTTGACGAAGTAACTATGACAATATAACATTGATCAAGGTTCACTTTGATATCGGTTGACACGTACATAATTGACTTGGATCAGTTTGTTCATTTTTACCGTCCTTCGATAGTAACAATACGTATAAAAATATGTCTGACGAGACAGATTTGGTACTAGAATGTAGTAATTATCGCGACTTGTTAATACAAGAGCTAAAACGAGTAAAGAAAAGAAAAACCAGTAAAAGGATAATTTGGACTCGCTCCTGGATTGTACGTCGCAATGAAACGGGAGCATGTAATATTATTTTTTTAATTTTTCTTGGGTGTATGTCGTTAGAATATTGTTAATTTTGCTGTTAACCACTTCTATAGTAACACCGTCTATATCAAGATTTCTCGCCATGCGCTGCAAATGCGTTTCTGGCAACCTTGTTCTTATATTCTTTGAGCCTCACGTCCCAAAGAACTACTTCTGCCTAATATAATTATACGAATTTGAGAGGATCCCGCTCACTCCACTTTCTCTTATTACGAGATGCTATTGTTTTTACATTTGACGCCATTTTGTTTCGTTTTTTTGACATCAAAGTTGGCTTGAAAAGTAGAACACAGTCCAAGTCAACTTTGATTAACACTCACATCAAAGTGCACTTTGATTGCTCGTTTACACGATCACGTCAAAGAAGTCATCATAACCACTTTGTCAAAGCAGACTTTGATCGTGTCAACGCGGCTTTAGACTGGAATACAGCAGTGCACGCTCTGTTGATTTGCTGTAGAAATAGACAAAAGAGTGGTCCCTATCTTGACGAACTCCTAAGCAGAAAAAGGAGTCGTACTACCTAGTAAGTGCATGTTTTTCTTTGTCACATCCATGCCACCGCAAGAAGCTCAAGCAGAAGCGAAGCGATTTACATGGAAATAAGTATTTCGGTAAAAAATGGAGTAATTGCAATATATTCAGTGGCTATCACTGTTTTGGAATCATATGTTTATATGTATACTTAATAATTCATTTAATTACATAAGCAAAAAAAAAAACGATAAACAACGTAAGATTCGTCTCTTCTCTGCATCGCCGTTACTATCAATACGAAAATATAAACGTGTGCCATGATTAAAATATTACACAAAGTTTTAGTTATTTAATTACAGTACAATTAACAAGCTATATACAAAAAAAAACGTATGTACAGTATATAGATAAAATAAACTATACTTTGTATCCATAAACTGTGACTATCTAAATTTCATTACGACTAATTTTTTAAAACAAATAACTCGATTAGAAAAAGCGTATCTACATAAAGTTAAATAAAAATTAATGTTCGATAGGATACTACATTAGACCACCAAAACAGTGATAATGCATTTAATAAAAAAAAAAATTAAAATATTTTTTTCTTGACACTTGCTCGTACTTACAATGAACGGTTCATAGACTAAATTATTTTTTTTTAATATAGAAACGCCGCACAAAGGCAAGAAATCCATTAGACCTTGAAATTAATACAATATCTGTTGTTAACTTTTTTGTATTGATGTAAGCAACTTTTATTTGAATAATGGGCTGATAAGTGAACTGCAAAAGACCCTTTCATAACTAAACTGGTAAATATTGGTTTTTGTTGAAATAATGGGAATGAATGATGGGAATGATATTAAACATAGAATGGAAAGCTTGATCTAACTAGCGATCACTATTAGCTAGTTACAAAAATGGACGAATTTTATAATTAACAATAACAACAGACACTGTAATAGACATAAAGGTAAACATTCACAAACAATAATCTACTTCTAAATAGACATTATTATGGACAAACTGTTTATTCTTTAACTTAATGAAAACAACGAACCATTCTCTTCTTTACCGCTCCAATATGTAGATGATTTGGCGGATCCTTGCCTCGCTGCTTGCAACAACTTCCGACTTTAATTGTATGCACTTAGAATTCAAATATCATTGACATTCTGAATATTTTTTTTTTTTGTTATGGACGAATAAAACAAAGAAAACTAACAAGAAGTTACAACTTTAATATCATATTTATACAAGAACGATGTACTTATAAACAAAGTTCCCATAAACAAAATCTTTACACATACTGTGCGCGTGGATTATTTCACAAGTTTATTAAAAAAAAAAATAACAAAGTAAATGCAGAGTAAATGTAAACTTAAAAGAAACTCAAACGGTACACAAAAAGAAAAAGATAATTAGTTCTTCGACAGTACAGCTTAATTACAAAAGAAATATCCTAGCAGAATTCAGATTACCCTAAGGCGTAACGTGTAAAACTTTCTAAAGTTTTTAACGCTGTATTTTATACTAATTTATCAACAAAAAAACACCCACGAATTTACTGGCATTTTCCTTATTGGTTTCAAGATATTTAAGTGAGATTCAAACGTTTTAATAGGTAATTAAATAATCAATATACAAGTAACGGCACTTAAGTCTAGCGCTGAACGAAACGTGGAGGGGACGCGCACGATTTGAATTGCACGAATGCGACTGAAGAGCTAATCAGCGCGTGCAAAGGATACGCACGAACCAATCAGCGTGAATTATGCGCAATAACGGTCACCGCTAGACTTTCGTGCCGCTACTTATAAAGACCGTTTTAGTACATACAGTACTAAAAGTTGACAGTAAATCATAGACAGACGCTTCTATTATACAACTTGGCCAAAACAATTAGGCGCATGACAGGAATGCGGTTTCAGCGCCCGCACCCTGCCTCTATCCCCGCGCTTCCTCTAGTGACCAATCACCGTTCCGCTGTTCCCTCCCTAGTTCTAAAGACATCTTAGCTGTCATGCGTTTAATTGTTTTAGTCACGTATTATTTGTATGGTCTATGATTACGCTATTTTTAACACTAACTGAAAACTGAATTGTCAACTCGCCAATTACGTAAAATTATGTTAAATTCGTCACCCATTCTAATTACATGATGGTAATTATTTAATTTTATTAATAGTGGTGTCAACCATCCAATATATAAACAATAAAGAATTATTTCTTAATACATTTGATAAACATAGCTGTGTTGAGAAGGACAGCAAAATAGCTGTCAAATATTGTACACATGCCAACCAGACATGGACATTTCAAAGAAAATAAATATTTTTTTAAATGTCTAATTCCGTGTATAAGCTGTAGTGTCGAAATCTCTAATTAATATAAAAGTAGCACTTAAATAAGCTTAAAAATAAATAACCACAGAAAAAATAAAAGGCAATGAGATTCTACAGCCCATCTAAATGACAACTTCCACCATTGTGCTAATATTTTTAGTCATTCGTTCATGTTTTTTTTTTTTAATAACATGCTCATTACTTATACTCTTTTACTGTGGACATTACAAAATTGTAAATTAAAAAAAATACGACTAGTTCGACTGGTTCAGGCATAAAATAAATAAAAGTTAAAACGATTAAGTTAAAAAAAATCTTTGGTAAGAATTGTAACAGACTAGATTTCAATTTGAGGACTAGAATGAAGTTCATTAATGACATTGACACCTCCAACATAAATATTATAAATCTCATTAAAAGGATATGTGTCTTATGCAATAAGATATATAACATATAAAATTTAAGTAAATTATTCATTTAAAATCAGGAGCTATTATACATCTGATGATATATCAAAACAGCAACACCCCATATGCAAGAGGTAACACCTAGAAACAGGGGTATATATGGCCTTAACCATGTCCGAACTGTCATTTAAAAATAAAATATAAGCACAATGTAGAAGTGACGAAACAAAATAACAGGTATCAAACATTCATAAATATATCCACGCGACGTAAAATAAATGCCACAACAATACAAATCGATCCACATAAATGCAGTTGGCGTAGTTAAAAATAATTGATGGCCCCAAAGTTTACCATTTTTAAAATGGATTTTTAATGGCATGACGTATCAAAATCACAGATCCAATTGCATTTTTCACAGATACAATAACAAATCGTTTTCACATACAGTCCATAATGCCACCAAACGATAGATAAATAAGTATGTTCCCCAGAGTTATTTTCGTTTTTTTCGACGCGGTCGACGTTGGACTTTGTGCGGGGAGCCCAAAATTCCATTTGACGTCGGGACGAGCAGTTTTTGTGACGTCACAGATACGTACATTTGACGTTTGTGTATTGGGTGGGATTGTGCGGTAACATGTAACGAAAACAAAAAGAAAAGGTGCACTAAATAAACATAATATTACCTCTGTATACAGTACAGTGTAATGCGCTAAAATAACTGGCATAGAATATATAAAAATACATAATATATAAAAATATTTAAATACTATTGAAATAAATTATTAAAATATAGAAGCATATTCGTGAATCCCAAATAAATTCTATGTATAAAATCAAAATTTACGGTGCGAATTAAACTTAGACTGATTTCATACGCAAATCTAAAGCAACCCCAAATACATACCTCCATAAATGCCACATTTTTTAAAATATAAACAAGACTCAAGTATGTTGTACATACTAATAAAATTGAATTTATTTTAATCTTTTTCAATTAAAAAAATTTAAAGTTCATTAAATATTTCCCAAACACTGACATATTTATTGAAATAAAAATTATTATTATTTATTATTTACATATTTTCATACTTTTTTATTAAAATTACCTTTGTATTGAAAAATATATTTACAATGGCAACACCTTATTTATGTTGACCAACGATAAAAGTTACATTATGTGGCAAAACTGTTATCAACTGTTTTCAAGCCAATTCAATTTTTCAACCATTTCATCGCTGGATAGAGAAATTTTGAAGTGGTGGTAGATTTAAAAAGCGAAAATAAAGATACATTTTATTTTTCTAAAAGTTGTCCTTTGTTTCTCAAACAGCAAGGAATTAAGACTTATACTTTTCAAATTTACATCAAAATAAAATAAATCAAGTAGCCCGTTAGAACAACTACATACGAGTGATGTTTGCTAGTGTGTCTGTGTGTACAATAGATATACTCACAGGAGTTACCGGGCTGCAGGGGGGCGTCGAGCTTCGCCTGCATGTCTCTGATATGTTGCTCCTTGCGCTTCATGTCGTGCGCCAACGAGTCCAAACGCTGGCGGGTTTCCAGTAATTCCCTATCGAAATGTATAACACCAGATAAGTATTTTGAACAGTTTTATACTATCAGATACGATAATCCTAAAATGTACTCGTAATACTATACGATATTTTTACGTGGTGACTTTGAGAAAATATATCATAGCTTCCGCTAAAGGACAATATAGGTACCAATCTCGTATTTATACAAAATATTAAATACCAGGATTAGCGTTTGGAAACAGCATCAAAGGTATGAAAATTAAAGTGGCTAATATGGCTTGTGTTCTGCAGTAGATGTTGTACGGATAAAGAGATTAGAAAGGCGTTATGATTAGGGTTGCCAACATTCATTCATTCATTACAGCCTACCAAAATCCACTACTCATCATAAGTATCCATAGAGATTGTCTCGCAGGCAGCTTGGAAATAAAAATACTGAAGTTTATAACTGTAGCTTTTTTCGTACCAAGTCATTATTAGGGGTATGTTCTGATTTGATCAATTTCATTTATAATGGTGCAGTTGATAGAAATTGAACGTGAAATCGAAATGTGTATGAATACGGTATATGTGCAGTGTATTTGTGGTATACGTGCGGTGTAGAGGCAGCGTGAGGATCTCCATCTTGTCCAGCTTCTGCGAGCGCCGGTTGCGTACCTCTGGCTGGCGAGCAGCTCTGCGCGCGTGCGGGAGAGCTCCTCGCCGACGGCCTGCTTGGCCTGTATCTCGGAGTGCAGCGAGGACTGCAGCGTGAGGATCTCCATCTTGTCCAGCTTCTGCGAGCGCCGGTTGCGCCAGCCGCCCGAGCCCACGCCGCCCACCGCCGGCGGAGAAGACGGCGCAGCGCCACCTCGTGCCCCGCTCGCTGCAACACACACTGGACGTTAACTTTATACGTGCTAGAACCATGCTGCAGATATATCATGCTTGTAGGATGGGTCGGCTCCACCGGGAAAAGACCACGCTCTCACAGAACACCAACGTGAAATAGTATTAAGCAATGTTGCTGTGTTTCGTATCGTGAATGTGGATTACCAACGACTAAAACACAAGGAACTAAAAAATGAGGCATTCCAATTCATCTGCGTTTTGATTCTTAATCGAGGATAGATGTAAATGACTTTGGGCCACGGCATCCAATGATCATCAGGTGAACTGTGTGCACGTTTGTCAACTTAATACTATTTAAAAAAATCTAGTTAAAACTGAGATGAAGTTTTTTGTTACACAAAGTCATATAATTGAGAATTAGTGTTTCATTTATAATTAAATCGATTTCTAGAGTATTACATAAATGCACAAAACAATTCCTCAGTGAATTGCTCCTCAATATTTTTTAAATTTTTAACTCTTATGAATTTTCCTCCTTTTAGAGATATCCATAATTATATTTAGTAATTTCTAACCAAATCTCTTACCATTAAATAGACTTTAACAAGATATTGCTTGTGTTTTAATTATAACTATTTAAATTACAATATTAAATATAAATAAATGCATCACATATATTTCGAAAACTCTGAAATATATAAATAAATCTTATAACTTCACTTACACTCAATGAACTAACTTTTACGGATTTTATCGCGTTTAATTAGTTTACTTTTATATTCCAGTCGTTTCGAGAACTTTTCAGCACTTATAGTTGCTCTTACCATAAACGATTGTCGATAAATTAAAAGATCAATAAAAACCCGTGTAAAAATAACACATATCCGACATAAAGCATCGGCGCTGCGGAAAGTATGTTGTTAGGATCAACCGCGCCATTACATCAGATTTGGCAGACCAAAATCCTCGCAAAAAACACTAATCACTATCAAGGATGATTCGCGAGACTAATGTAATCAAAAATCATCCTAATTTCAAACGAGTATATGGATGGTATCAGACTGTCTGTGCAGTTGCCTGTATCCTGTCAAATCTGCTGAAGACTGCAGTTTCATTTCCCGTCTAACAGCCATGAAATTAAGAGTGTGATCGGAGAGTTTTGTGTTCTTCTGCGACTATAAAACTTCGCTCCGGCCGCATGGACTGTTTCCACAAGCTTATCTCGTTAATATCGTCCACTGCATTGCAATCTTCTATGCACTGGAAACGATTTTGTAACTCGAGCTGAAAATTTTTGGAGCTTCGGATTAGAGCACGAGGGGGACGGAGCGTTGACTTCATTAGACGAGACCTCTCCAACTTAACGTTTAGCTTCAGTGTGCCTCTCACCATTCGGTTATCGCTGCCGGTTTGCACCCTCGCAATCACTAGGAAATCACTGAACAGTTGCAGTCTAGTCGTCATAATAAAGTCAATTTAATTTTATGTCGAATCATCGTGCTGCCGACCCTTTGGGTTCCGTTGCCTTATTCCGAATTTCCCTACATTCAGCTCACCGTTCCTTCTTTTGCCTAGTTTTGCGTTAAAGTCTCCCATTAACACCGTATAGTAAGTTTTGGAGGAATGCATGGCTCTAGAGATATCCTCATACATTTCCTCCGACCCCTTATCGGGATGTGCCGAGCGGGGTTGGTGCGTAAACCTGTATGACCTTCAGCGAATACCGTTTAGTGATTACGAGTGTAAGATACGCAACCCTCGTCGACACATTCCCAAACTTTACAACGATGTTAACGAGAGACTTGTGGACGATAAATCCAACACCTCCTTGGGACAGATGATCGTCCTTCCGATGATGGAACAAGTTGCCGGATTCAAGGATTACCGTGTCCTCACCCTCTCTTCGGACCTCGGATAATCCTATAATATGCCAGCGTAAGTTGTCTATCTCTTCTTATAGTTCCAAGATCTTCTAGTCAGTCGTCAGGGTGCGAGCGTAATATTTTGCCAGGTCGAGTCGTCGTAGGCGGCAACCGAAGCTCCACCGGAGAGTCTTAGCACACCCTGCCCCACCGTTAGCATGATCACAACCGTAACCAGGAATAGCGGGGCCGCCGGATACTGGGGACCGTCTCTTCGTAACTATCATGGGGGGTATATTGGCATAGTTGCCTCGATTGGCGAACGGGTTGGCAACCGCAGTTTTTTTATTGTTATTTTGCTGTTATGAAAGATGCTGCTGCCCATCTTCTATCTGTTTCCCTCTTTCGCCTCTTACGACACCTACGGGAAGATATGGGGTAGTGGGTATTCTTGCCTGCCACTACACGGGAAAATATAAGAAATCATTATCTTCACTTCTAGCTACTAAAATCGTCCTACCGTGTTTTAGATAATCTAACTCTTCAGTCATCTTCGTTGCGAGCGCCTGCAGATAGCCGCGAGCCTCCTTCTCGTCTGCCACCCATCGAATAATGTCTGCAATCTGAAACAATGTTTTTTTTTTTTGATAATCTATACGGATATTTTTAAGAGAAAAGTAAATATGAAAACCATCAACTAGAATGCATATAATCAAATGAGATCGTAGTGGAACATTCAAAAAAATCGTGGAATATTTAACAACATACTATTTTAAATAAGGCGAGCGGAAACGAAATAAACTTACACACCTTCATTAAATTTGCATTTTATGTCCCCTTACGATATCCACAATGTGAGATTTTTCTATAAAACTGTCAATATACCTGTGTCTCCCAATGATGCATAGTATCTCTCTTAGCTCGTAACTCCTCCAACTCCATCTCCAGTTGTCTCCTCTCCGTCTGCCATCGTCGACCGTTCTCTGCCATCTATTAAGCAATACATGTTTCTTTGAAATGAAATGCTTTGAGCAAATTTAAAACAATATTTATTTGATTGTATTTTTATGTATATATGCATGTATACGATTGTGTCTACATTGTTTTTAGGCCACTGTAGTATATACTTCTCCTACTAAGATTCCGGCTGCTGGATACAAAATTTCATATTTAAGGCATATCCATCTGCCGTTTATACTAATAGTACAAAAGTAAAAAGGTCATAATAAAGCCACGTACCGCATCAAGATCCTTCGCCAGTTTCCTGTTCTCGTTGATGAGCATTTGTTTGTCTTCGCTATCCGACAGCTGCTCCAATCGACGGTTCTCGAGTTTTTCTTTGGATGTTTGTAGCTGTAACAACGATTCTCATGACAAAAAGATGTATTTATAGAAGTTATTTGATATTTCGCAGAAGTGAGAAACGAAGGAGGTTAGATAATGTGGGACATTATATCTTATGTTACTTTATCAATTTTGCTGGTTTTATTCCGGTTTGAAAGATATTATTATCATGAACCACAGAATACCAGCGTAAAATAGCAGCTTAACGCTGCTGTGTTTCGTATGGTGAGTGTAGAGAACCGGAGACCCTTTTTACTGGAAACGAGGCATTCCATCTTAGTCCTCACGGGTGACAACGTATCTGCATTTTGATTCGTAATACAAGATAGATGTAGATGTCTATGGGCCACAGTAGCCACTTAACATCAGGTGGACTGTGTGCTCGTTTGTCACCCATATCCTATAAAAAAAAATCATGTAGATCCAGTACGGCATCATGAACGCTGTATACTATTTAAGTTTATTTATTAAAATTTTATTATACATACAATTAAAAGCCTTTGAGATATTGCCGTGTAGTGGCGGTCAAGAATATCCACTACCCCATATCCTCCCGTGGGTGTCGTAAAAGGCGACAAAGGGAAACAGCCAGGAGATGGGCAGCAGCATCTTCCTGATAATAGCCAAATTACAATAAAAAAACTGCGGTTGCCAACCCGCTCGCCAAGCGTGGCAACTATGGCAAATACCCCCCAATGATGAGAGCAACAAAAAAACGGCCCCCAGTCCCCGGCGGCCCCGCTATTCCTGGCTACGGTGGCGACCATGGTAACGGCGGGGCAGGGGGTGCTAAGAATCTCCGGTGGAGGTTCGGTTGCCACCTTAGACGACTCGACCTGGCAACGTACAACGCACGCACCCTGAGGACTGACGAGAAGATCGTGGAGCTGGAAGAAGAGATAGACAAGTTGCGCTGGCATATTATAGGATTATCCGAAGTCCGAAGAGAGGGGGAGGACACGGTAATCCTCGAATCCGGCAACTTGCTCTATCACCGGGAGGGCGACCATCTGTCCCAAGGAGGTGTCGGATTTATCGTCCACAAGTCTCTCGTTAACAACGTTGTAAAAATCGGGAGTGTGTCGACGAGGGTTGCGTACCTTATACTCAGAATCACCAAACGGTATTCGCTGAAGGTCATACAGGTTTACGCACCAACCTCGGCACACCCCGATGAGGAGGTGGAGGAAATGTATGAGGATATCTCTAGAGCCATGCATTCCTCCAAAACCCAATATACGGTGTTAATGGGAGACTTCAATGCAAAACTAGGCACAAGAGAGAACGGTGAGCTGAAAGTAGGGAAATTTGGAATAGGGCAACGGAACCCAAGGGGCCAGCAGCTGGCCGACTTCATGGAGAAAGAGGGACTCTTTATGATGAACTCTTTCTTCCAGAAGCGGCCCCACAGGAAGTGGACCTGGTCGAGCCCCGACGGTTCCACAAAAAATGAGATTGACTTCATTATGACGACCAGACGACAACTGTTCAGTGATGTCTCCGTGATCGCGAGGGTGAAAACTGGTAGCGATCACCGAATGGTTAGAGGCACACTGAACCTAAACGTTAAGTTGGAGAGGTCTCGTCTAATGAAGTCAACGCTCCGTCCCCCTCGTGCTCTGTTCCAAAGTCCCGAAACCTTTCAGCTCGAGTTACAAAACCGTTTTCAGTGCCTGGAAGACTGCAATGAAGTGGACGATATGAATGACAAGCTCGTGGAAACTGTCCATGCGGTCGGAGCTAAGTTCTGCAAGACCCGCCGCAGAAGAACACAAAAACTCTCCGATCACACTCTTAATCTCATGGCTGTTAGACGGGAGATGAAGCTACATTCTTCAATAGATTTGACAGCATACAGGCAACTGAACAGACAGATCTCCAAATGCATGCGGCGGGACTTACGCAACTTCAATACAGCTCGTATTGAAGAAGCGATCGAGCGGAACCAAGGCTCCAAAGTCTTTGCCAGAGATCTGTCTGCCAGAAAGAGCCAACTGTCAAAGCTGAAGACAGAATGTGGCAGCATCGTTTCCGGGACACCTGAGATTTTGAGTGAGATTGAGAGGTTCTATGGGCAGCTGTACACATCATCGTTGGAGCCACACGCAAGTGTGAGTAACGATCCAAGAGCGAGTCTCATCCGACACTATTCCGAAGATATCCCGGATGTCAGTTTGAGCGAGATTAGGATGGCTCTCCAGCACCTTAAAAACGGTAAGGCCCCAGGCGAGGATGGAATTACAGCGGAGCTTCTGAAAGCGGGTGGAAGACCGGTACTTGAAGTCCTTCAGAAGCTCTTTAATTCCGTCCTCCATGGTGGCATTACACCGGAGGCGTGGAGCAGAAGTGCGGTGGTCTTGTTCTTCAAGAAAGGTGACAACGCTCTCTTGAAGAACTACAGACCGATTTCCCTTCTGAGCCGCGTCTACGTGCTGTTTTCGAGAGTCATTACGAATCGTCTCGCGCGCAGACTTGACGACTTCCAGCCTCCCGAACAAGCCGGTTTCCGAAAGGGCTTTAGCACCATAGACCACATACATACCCTTCGGCAAGTTGTACAGAAGTCCGAAGAGTACAATTTGCCACTATGTCTGGCGTATGTGGACTATGAGAAAGCCTTTGATTCCGTCGAAATTTGGGCGGTGCTGCAGTCCCTTCAGCGGTGCCAAGTTGACTGTCGGTATATCGAAGTGTTGAAGTGCTTGTACAGTAGGGCTACGATGGCTATCCGAGTACAGACCCAGAGTACGAAACCTATCCAATTGCAGAGAGGTGTAAGACAGGGTGACGTCATATCCCCGAAACTCTTCACCGCTGCATTGGAAGACGTTTTCAAGCTTCTGGACTGGAAAGGATACGGTATCAACATCAATGGCGAGTACATCACTCACCTTCGATTTGCCGACGATATAGTCCTTATGGCAGAATCGCTGGAGGACCTAAGCACTATGCTCAATGACCTCAATAGTGTTTCCCAACGGATAGGTCTTAAGATGAACATGGACAAAACTAAGATCATGTTTAATGTCCATGTCACACCTATGCCGGTAGTTGTTGGGAACACTAAGCTCGAAGTTGTTGACGAGTATGTTTACCTGGGACAAATAGTCCGACTGGGTAAGTCCAACTTCGACCGAGAGGTCAATCGACGGATTCAACTCGGCTGGGCAGCGTTCGGGAAGCTACGACACATCTTCTCGTCAGACATACCTCAAAACCTTAAAACGAAATTGTACAACCAGTGCGTGTTGCCAGTGATGACTTACGGAACTGAGACGTGGTCCTTCACTGCTGGCCGTATGAGGAAGCTCAAGGTCGCTCAACGAGCTATGGAGAGGGCTATGCTCGGAGTTTCTCTGCGTGATAAACTTAGGAATGAGGATATCCGCAGTAGAACCAGAGTGACCGACATAGCCCAACGGATTAGTAAGCTGAAGTGGCAGTGGGCCGGCCATATAGCTCGAAGAACCGACAACCGATGGGGAAGAAAGGTTCTCGAGTGGCAGCCTCGTACCGGTAGGCGAAGTGTAGGGCGTCCCCCCACGAGATGGAGTGACGACCTGGTAAGACATGCAGGAAGTCGATGGATGCAGGTGGCTCAGGACCGTGTTTTGTGGCATTCCTTGGGGGAGGCCTATGTTCAGCAGTGGACTTGTGAAGGGCTGTAATGATGATGATGATGATGATGAGATATCATAGAAGCCATTAACACTATTAAGGTGTTCTTCCCAGGCCTGTAAAATATGCGACACTAGATTTATGGCAGAAACAATATATTGCCATGACTGACAACAGAGGACGATGTCCAAGTGACCATGTAGGGGCGTATAAGTATATCCAGTGCCCAATATCGTCCCGTGGGTGTCATCAAAGGCGACAAAAGGAAACTGAAACAGGAGATGAGCAGCATCTTCCTGATATTCACTCAAAATTATAACACGGTTAAAAACCCGCCGGCCAGTAGCGACTATTCCCATTAAGAGTCAATCTATGGGGGAGGCTTATGTACAGCATTAGACTGTAATGTATGTGCAGGTGTGAGGTGTGTGCGGGGTGTGTGCGGGGTGTGTGCGGGGTGTGTGCGGGGTGTGTGCGGGGTGTGTGCGGGGTGTGGGCGGGGTGTGGGCGGGGCGTGGGCACCTCGCGGCTGAGCACGTTGCGCACGGCGTCGCCCTCCTGCAGCTGGTCGCGCAGCGCGGCCAGCTCCGCGCTGTAGCGCGCCTGTTGCTGCGCCAGCGACTCCTTGTACTGCAGCTGCAAATGTACTACTTCCATTAAAACTTACCCCCCATATCGTAACGTGGGTGTAGTAAGAACTACCACCTACTGGCTTTAGCTACTTTTTCTTGGTTCATTAATGAAGTAAAATTAGTTGATATTAATAATTCCATCATCATCATCATTACAGCCCTCCATAAGTCCACTGCTGAACATAGGCCTCCCCCAAGGAATGCCAAAAAACTTGTTCTACCACCGGGAGGGCCATTTATCCCAAGGAGGTGTCGGATTTACCGTCCACAAGACTAGTTAACAAAATTATAAACATTGTGAGTGTATCGACGAAGTTTGCGTATCTTACCAGAATCACCAAACGGTATTTAATGAAGGTCATACTGGTTTACACACCAAATTCGGCACATCCCGATGAGGAGGTGGAAGAAATGTGTGAGGATATCTCTAAACCCACTATACGCTGTTAATGGGAGATTTCAACGCAAAACTAGATAAGAGAGAACGGTGAGCTGAAGGTAGGTAAATACAGAATAAGACAACGGAACCCAAGAAGCCAGCAACTAGGCGACTTCATGGAAAAAGAGAAACTCTTTATGATGAACTCTTTTCCAGAAGCGGCTGCACATGAAATGGACCTGATCAAATCCCGACGGTTGGACAAAAAATTAGATTCACTACATTATGATGACAAGACGACACCTGATCAGTGGATGTCTCAGTAATCGCGAGGGTAAAAACTAGCAGAGATCACCGAATGTTTACAGAGGCACAATGAACCTTAACCTTAAATTAGAGAGGTCTCATCTATTGAAGTCAACGATCTGTCCCCCTCGAGCTCTAATACAAGGTCCCAAAAACTTTCAGCTCGAGTTACAAACTCGTCTTCAGTACTCGTTTCAGTCACTTTCCGGGACCTTGTTGCTATTACAACAAGGTCCCGGAAAGTGTATAGGCTCTCTCTATTAGCAAGTTTAAATGTTTTGTTAAGTTGAAACTGCATAAAAAGGGTTATTATAGTATAAATGAATACATGGTTGATAATAACCCCTGGGAATGAGGTGATCGCTTCCAAGGTTTTTCTAAAATAAATTTTGTACTTATATAGTTAGTACAACCATTATTGTAAAATTTGCTTTAAAAAAAAAAGTCCCGCTGGGTTTCTTGCTGGTTCTTCCCAGGATAGAGGTTTTTTTTCGAATCAGTGGTAAAGTAAAAAATGACTTTCAATAAGAATTACACATGTGATCTATATTGAATAAAAAATTATTCTATTCTATTCTAGTGCCTAGAAGACTAAAAAAATTAAGTGGACGATATGAACGACAAGCTTATGGAAACTATTCATACGGTCGGAGCTAAGTTCTGCAAGACCCGTCGCACAAACATACACAACAACTCACCGAGCACACTCTTAATCTCATGACTGTTAGACAGGAAAGGAAACTGCAGTTTTCAGCAGATTTAACAGCATTCAGGCAACTGAGCAGACAGATTTCCAAATGAATGCGGCGGGACTTAGGCAACTTCAATACAGCTTGTATTAAAGAAGCGATCAAGCGGAACCAGGGCTCCAGTCTTTGAAAGAGATCTGTCTGCCAGAAAGTGCCCACTGTCGAAACTGAAGACCTGGACACCTGAGATTTTGAGTGAGATTGAGAGGTTCTATGGGCAGCTGTACACATCATCGTTAGAGCCACACGCAAGTGTGAGTAACGAGCCAAGAGCAAGTCTTATCCGACACTATTCCGATGATATCCCGGAAGTCAGTCTGAGCGAGATTAGAATGGCTCTCCAACAACTTAAAAAAGGCAAATCCCCGGGCGAGGATGGAATTACTGCGGCGCTTCTGAAAGCGGGCAGAAAATCGGTACTTGTAGTCCTTCAGAAGCTCTTTAATTCCATCCTCCATGGTGGGACTACTCCGGAGGCGTGGAGCAATAGGCGGTGGTTTTGTTCTCCAAGAAAGGCGACACTACAGACCGATTCCCTTCTAAGCCGCGTCTACGTGCTGCTGTGAAGTCATTACGAATCGTCTCGAATGCAGACTTGACGACTTCCAGCTCTAACAAGCCGATTTTCGAAAAGGAATTAGTACCATAGACCACGTACACACCCTTCGGCAAATTGTACAGAAGACAGAAGAGTACAATCTGCCACTTTGCCTTGCGTATGTGGACTATGAGAAAGCCTTTGATTCCGTCGAAATTTAGGCGGTGCTACAGTCCCTCTAACGGTGCCAAATTGACTGTCGGTATATCGAAGTGATGAAGTGTTTGTACAGTAGGGCTACGATGGCTATCTGAGTACAGAACCAAAGTACGAAACCTATCCAACTGCAGAGATGTGAAAGACAGGGTGAAGTTATATCCCCGAAACTTCACCGCTGCATTGGAAGACGTATTAACGTCAATGGCGAGTACATCACTCACCTTCGATTTGCCGACGATATAGTTCTTATGGCAGAATCGCTGGAGGATCTAAGCACTATGGTCAATGACCTCAATAGTGCCTCCCAACGGATAGGTCTTAAGATGAACATGGACCAAACAAAGATCATGTGTCACATCCATGTCACACCTATGCCGATAGTTGTGTTTGTCAACTGAATGTTTACTTCGGACATATAGTCCTACTAGGTAAGTCCAACTTCGAGCGAAAAGTCAATCTACGGATTCAATTCGGCTGTGCAGCGTTCGGGAAATTACGACACATCTTCTCGTAAGCTATATCTCAAAACTTGAAAACTAGATTGTACAACCAGTGTGTTGCCAGTGATGACTTATGAATCTAAGACGTGGTGCTTCACTGCTGGCCGTATGAGCAAGCTCAAGGTCGCTCAAAGAGCTATGGAGAGGGCTATGTTCGGGGTTTCTCTGCGTGATAGACTTAAAAACGAGGATTCCGCAGTAGAACCATAATGACCGACATAGCCCAACGGATTAGTAAGCTGAAGTGGCAATGGGCCAAAAATGGAAAAAAGGTTCTCGAGTGGCAGCCTCTAGGCGAAGTGTAGGGCGAACCCCCACTAGATGGAGTAACGACCCGTAATCCATCTAGTAGAGTGCAGGTCCCATATGTACCATAAGTAAGTAAGACATGCAGGAAGTCGATGGATGCAGGTGGCTCAAACCGTGCTTTGTATTTAACTTTGTGATTAATAATTTATAAGAATACTAGCTGGCCAGGCAGACGTTCTGCCCTTTTCGACGACCCTTCATATAAAAAAATCCTTAAATTCGTAATAAAATATTAAATATTGAGTGTCACTTATCAGGATAAAACTATCCTATCTCTCAAGTTGGACCAAACTGCACAGAGTGTGCAAAATTTCATTGAAATCAGTTCAGTAGTTTAGGAGTTCATCGCGGACAAACAACGTGACACGTAATTTTTATATATAAAGATAATGGAAACCAAAGTATTACCTCAAGGGCCTCGACATCAGCTTGTAAACGCGCCACATCAGCCGCTGTGCCACTTCCCGCTACCGGCATACCTTCAGAACGCTGTGACCGGAGAGTTTCTTCTCGCAGCTTCCTCTCCTGTGACAGTGTATTTACATTTAAGGCGAGGATTTCCTAAGTTAAAAGGCTTTTAGCGCGCCATTCTCCGCTGCATGCATCCATTTGTTTAGTAAGAGTGGAGACTGGTCGAACGTCTGATTGTCCGATGGTGGAAGGGAGGAGGAATTAAATTACGCAATTCCCGCACACACTCCGAAATGTATCCTGTAGAAAACCGAAAGGCTGGCTACTTTGGGTCTGTGTTCGAGGCTGGTAAGATTGATTTTAACCAATTTCGAGTCACCAATAAGCCTCTTAGCACGCCTTTTTATTGAGTCCAAAGCTGCTAGGTGGCGTTTTGCAGCACCAGCCTATATATGGCAGCAATATTCAGCATGGCTCAGTCACGTAATAAATTTAGACTACTCTACCTTACTCTACCTTAACACTAATATATAATGTCACAGGGGCTACACTACACTACCATGTAGGTCCATCGTAGCATAATTGCAGTATAATGAATAAAAAAAATCTAGTTCATCACCTTGGTGGCCTCGGCGACGGCGGTGTCGAGGCGAGCCTCGAGTTCGCGGCGGCCCTTGTCCGCGCGCCGGATGTCTTGGCGAAGCGCGTCGATCTTCTGCATCGCCACTTCTAGTTCCTCTTCTTTGTCACGGACCTACGGATATCGCAACTCACTTTAATATATTCTTTATTACCACGTATTGTTTACGTGGTAGAGCCATGCCGCAGCTATATTAGTAGTAGTTGGAATAAATATAGAATGGGTCGGCTCGACCGGGGAAGGACCACGCTCTCACAGAATACCAACGTAAAATAGCAGCTTAAAGCTGCTATGTTTCGTATGGTGAGTGTAGAGAACTGGAGATCCTTTTTACTGGAAACGGGACATACTATCTTAGTCTTCACGGGCGACAGCGCATCTGCATTTTGATTCGTAATCGAGATAGATGTAGATGTCTATGGGCCACAGAAACCACTTACCATCAGGTGGACTGTGCGTTCGTTTGTCACCCTTATCCGATAAAAACAAAAAATATATGGTACTGGAAGACGTAAAGTCCTGTAATGAACGCCACCTGCCAATCAATATACGAAATAAAGTGGTATAAAAATTAAATAGTAATCAACACATTTGTTAATTTTATACTTTTTTTTGTACAGTACAGTTAAAATAAAAAAGGGTTTTACTGTGCGAGCGTGGGGCTTCCGCAGTAGGACTGACATATTTGTCCTGCAACCACCATACGCTGCAACGTGTGTGTGTAAAATATATATACAAATAAATAAAATTGAAGTGGCTGTTTGTAATGTGAAAATTACAGTTTTTTACTAAATGCATATGAAAGTAAATACGCTACTTATAACTAAAATACAATTTTAAAAATGTTTGTCTGTCTATCTGTTTGTTCCGGCTAATCTTCGAAACAGCTGGACCGATTTTGACGGAACTTAAGCGTCTCCCACACAGAAGCGGCTTGCGGTGGCGGCTAACCGCGAGCCGCGACTCCAGCCGCTGCAACAACATACCACCGCGGTCGCAGCGGCGGTCTGAAGCGCCATTCGCTGAGTTGTCTGTACTACGATTGGACGTCAGTAACATGACTAACCGTAGCGAAGTCTTTTTATATTCTGCAATATTATCATATATTTTGTTTCTAATTCTAATGATTTTGTCATCACGTAGCGAATTATCATAAAGTACGGGATAATTTTGCGCTGTTTCTATTAAAATCTCTGAATTTAACATCATTTTTCACGCGGTACACGCGGCCTGTTGTAAAAATTTGCAACTGACCGCGCTGCGGCCCCCGACTGACCGCGTACTCGCGTACACACGTGTTGGCGGCAGGGGCGGGGCATGCGGCCGCGGCCAGCCGCTCGCAGGCCGCGCCATGGCCGCGTGGGTTTGCAGAATCACTTACATTGCAAGCGAATACAACTGGCCGCCACCGCAAGCCGCTTCTGTGTGGGAGACGCTTTACACTGGCAGATAGCTGATTTCATAAGGAGTAACTTAAGCTACTATTATTTTAGAAAAAGAATTAGGGTTCCACGCAAAAACATAAAAACCCTAACACGCGAGCGAAGACGCGGGGAACAGTTAGTATTAAATAAATAAACTTTAATTGCATCGTTACAGCCTACCAAAAATCCACGGCTAAACATAGACCTTGCACATAGTTTGCCTCACAGGGAGGATATTTGCAAGGTTGGCCACGCTTGGCAGGCGTGTTAGGAGTCCCAGTTTTAATTATTTTTGAGTGGTTATAAGGAAGATGTTGCTGCCCATCTCCTGCTTCATTGCCTTCATTACCTTCTATCGGCTCTAGCGACATCCGCGGGATGTCATGACTGTGAATTATCTTACGCTGACACTAGTTATAATATTTATATTACGGATCGCCGTAATGCCGTGCGAAAAATGGAATAAAACGCGCTGGTCTTGCTTTTAACTGGAGGCAAGCGGCGGTGAGGAGGAACTTGTACTTTTTCTTTTCTTGCTGGTGCCTTTTCGGTGGCTGGAGAGCGACTGCTGACCCTAGCGGCCGGCCCGTCTTTTATATGATTTGGCCGCTGCTGGCCAGCGGACCCTTGCCTCACCCCCGCGCCTATCTTTATTTATTTAATAACCTTACAAACTAATAAACATAATTCACTATATAATATTCTTATAACTACTTGTTAGACTAGGGTGTACATATCAATATTTTTACTTATTTACAGGTTTACATTATAATTTTCAGCTGCTTTAGGCGGAGAATCCTTCCCCCCGCCTCAGCACTATAAATATAAAACGTCGTGGCGCGGTGCGCGTGGCTTCATTTGCTCCGCGGCCGCGTCACGATAACATGCTCTTTGGTTACACTACTACTATTATTTTATGTGCCTAACGGCCTAATATATTTATTATATAATAAAGTAAACATTTATTATATTTAACAATTACAGTTTTCATTAGAAGACTATGCTAACTCTCCCTGTTCATACGGTGCCTTTATTTGGGAGAGTTATTGCACAGTTACAACTCAACCTTAAACTTAGTTATAATACAATCATTATTTTTTATCGTTCGATACAAGTAATACAATTATTTACACAAATTATAATTTAAATTCAACATAAGGTTGCGCTAGTTCCGCCGTATAACCCTTGCTAGTTGTCGAACCAGAGGCGTGGCCTGATAATTACACCGTCGTCATGGCTCCGCCCACCGCTCCTAGGTTGTTCAACTAGCGCCGGTTACAATAAGCATTTTCTTTCGTTTGTTTAATATTGTTGCGTCGTGCACATTCTCCCGCCGTCGCCACGCTGCGATCCCTCTGGTAGCACGACGATCTTCTTCGTTGGTCTTCTTAGTATGTGCCCACTGCCGGTGGTTACGTCCACTACTCGTACCTCTCCGTCGACGCCAGGATATACCTTACTTATTTTCCCTCTGGGCCAGGTGTTGCGTGGTAGATTGGAGTCACAAATGATGACTAGGTCTCCAATCTTCGGCGATACTCCTATGCTGCTGGGCTCCCGCCGGTGTTGGAGTAGGGGCAGGTATTCTTTAACCCATCTTCTCCAAAACACGTCGGCTAGGGCTTGAGCTCGTTTCCATTGCTGGCGGGCCGTCACGTCATTCTTGCTGAAGTGTCCCGGCGCAGGTACGTGCGAGTTGGGACCGATGAGGATGTGGTTCGGCGTGATGGCTTCAGGGTCTCCTGGGTCGACTGAGACGTGTGTGAGAGGTCTGGAGTTTACAGTATTTTCGACCTCGGCGAGCAGGGTCCCCAATGTTTCGTCGCTGGGATAGCGCTCGTTGAGGGTGACGCGTAGGGCTTCTTTTACGGAGCGAACCATTCGCTCCCATACGCCGCCCATGAACGGTGCTGATGGCGGTATGTACTTCCACACAATCTGTTGACACGTGGTTTCGTGCTCGAGGGCTGCAAGTGCTGCTTCGGCCATCTCCTTGTCTGCTGCCTTGAAGCACGTAGCGTTGTCACTCCATATTTCTTTTGGGCATCCTCTTCTGCTCATAAAACGCCTAAGTGCCGACACGGCTGAGTCTGCGCTCAACGAGTGGGCTACTTCTATGTGTATTGCTCGTGACGTCATGCAGGTAAATAACGCGCCATAGCGCTTTTCGCGATGTCGTCCCACTGTGACTTCTATTGGCCCGAAGTAGTCTAGTCCGGTGTATGTGAACGGACGTGCGTGATGAGCGAGGCGTGCGGACGGCAGGTTTCCTGTAGACGGTGATGCAGGCTTGGCTTTTCTTAGACGGCACGGCAGGCATCCTTTGACGACAGTTTTCACTACTGGACGTATTTTTCTTACGTACAATCTCTGTCTTAATTCATTCACAACTGTTTCTACGCCTCCGTGATGCAGCCTCTCGTGTACGTGTGCTATGTACAGGCGAGTGTATGCGTGCTTCCCGTCTAATATGGGAGGGTCGTACATGTCGTCCTCCACTTCTGATGCCGCTTTTATTCGACCTCTGAGGCGTAGGGTCCCCTCTTCATCAATGTATGTGCTCAGGTGGCCTAGTTTGTCGTCGCCTCCCGGAACACTTCCGCTGGTGATTCTCTTGAGCTCCTTCGTGAAGCTTTCCCGCTGACTGGCTTGCACCCACAGTTGTTCGGCTCTCATATGATAAGCGGCCGGTATTCCTACAAGCGATGAGGCAGTAGGAGTCGCCTTTTTCTCCTTGGCGGGGGTGTTGCGTTTGTTTGTTCTCTGCCAGCCAGGGTCGCTACCTTGTCTTGCTTTGTTGCGTTTACGCCCAGCCTTCACTACGTGCTTGTTTGGTCTGCACATGTCGATGAATAGGAGGACTCTCGCTGTCGCCCTTATGAGCCGAATCCATTTAGAAAATCTTCCTATCTGTGGAAGATGTGTTGTTGTCGAGTCTTCACTTTTAACAGCGATGTTACATATTTCTCGCTCTTCCCCGGTGTCATATTGTGTCGTTTTCTCTTCCTGCGGCCATTCTGCCGGTGGACGCTGCAGAAACGGGGGCCCTCGGAACCATCGGTGCGACTCGTCGAACCCTTCTGGTGTGGCTCGGGTTGCGTCGTCTGCCACGTTTTCTTTAGACGGTAGCCAACGCCATTCGTTCTTTTTGGTCGTATCTTCTATCTCCGCCAGGCGATGAGCGACGAAAGCTTTGTACGCGCGAGGCTCCGATCTTATCCACACCAGTGCAGTACGGGAGTCGCACCAGTATGTCTTGCCTGCTATGTCGCCATCGTGTTCATCGATCACGGTCTGCGCAAGACGAGCTCCCAGCAGTGCCGCTTGTAACTCGAGCCGTGGTATGGAAACTGGTTTCAGTGGTGTTACGCGGCTCTTGGCGGCGGCCAATGATATGTTAACGCTGCCGTCTGCTCGCTCCGTTCTCCAATACACTGCTGCTGCGTAGGCCTCCTCGCTTGCGTCGACGAATGTGTGTAGTTGGCGCGTCGACACCGGGTTGTAATCGTAGCATCGCGGTATTCTTAGTTGTTCTATGGCGTTAAGTGAAGTAATCCAGCCTTCCCATTTTTCTTTTAATTCTGTTGGCAGAGGGTCGTCCCAGTCCGCCTTGTAACGCCATGTGTCTTGAAATATTCTCTTCGCTGGGGTGGTCACCGGTGATATTAACCCCAGCGGATCAAATAATGC